ACTATAATTTTATAAGTTAAAAAAATATACTTTATAAATTCTAAAATATTCTAATAACCTATTTAAATAAGTCTTAAAATAACTATATTTTTTCTCTTTATTATATATAAAGGTATATTATATAATAATAATTAGTTATTTAATAATTTTTATAATTACTAATAATATTGAAATTATTACTTTCTCTTTTATATTTATTTATTATAACTTACTTCTTTTTTATTCTTTATTTTTACTTTCTTATAGCTATATAGATAACTAATTAATTTTTAAAATAATATCTCTTACTTATATTTATAAAATCTATTTTATTTTATATAAGCTTAATATCTTCTTTATAATCTAATTATATTAATCTTATAGCTTTTTTATAGAACTTTTTTATAATCTTTTTCTATAATATTTTAATATATTGAAACTATTTTATTATTACTCTATTAATATAAATTTATCTTTAAAGATAATATTATCTTAATATTTAACTTATTTTTCTTTGTCTTCTTTTTCTTTAGCTTTTTTATATATTTTTCTCTTCTACTAGAAATAGTAGATATATCCTCTCTCTAAAGTATCTTACTAGGCAGCTAGTTAAATATCTTTCTTTAGAGATAAATATAAAGTATAAAGAGTAAACTGTATCCTATGTAGCTTCTGCAGCGTACGGATGTAAAGGCTGTGCCTTTACAGCGTATACTAGGCAAAAAGTCCTCGAATTTAGCGCCTCACGACGGCCGGCCACAGGTGTCTTCAATAACGTATTGCGTTCAATCATTACGTGTTGTTAGATGGCTGTTCTTTGTGCCGGGCGCTGTTCTAGAGCGTCCTTTTTTGTTACACCTAGAAGATGTGCCTCCGGCTGGGTCTAAACCAGCGGCCGTGTTGAAGAATGTCTCTCATGAATAACCACCACACGATGGGGGTTTATTGCATACCGCGAGGGGTGTAGCCACTGGCGCTGCGAGGACATCAAATGGGAGGGGCATAGCGATATGGCAGACCAAAAATAAGGTGCAAGACCCGTAAACGGGCAACCCGTTTAACCGAAGAATCCGGCAAACCCTAGCCGCACTGGGAAATGTAAACTGTCATACTGTCACGCACCAGCCACTATGTTACCCGTCTTCAAGGGTCCATGTGTAGGTGGAAATGGAATCAAAAAAAAATTCTGGTAGAGGTGTGGCACCTGGCTCACACCCCACTGTATTTGGAATCATCAGTATTTATTACGGAGTAATCCGCGGCAGGTGCCCGCAATGGTGCCACGCGGGTGACAAAACAGATCGTCGACAGGGGCAGATTGTGATTCCAGAAAAAAAAACGTGGATCAGATCATAGAAGACGGAGCTAAGGGAAGGGAAGTCGCATACGCTTAAGAGCTTGCAGCAGGAGTTATTTGGCATCTAACAACGGGTCTAGGCGCGACGATAGATATGACAGGTTCAAAGCCGCCTACAACGCCTGATGCGGGGACGCACTAGGCGCCCTCAGCCTCACATCAGGGCCGCAAGTCTTATTACCGCCTACCTAGCTATACTAACCCACTACACATAATATGGCCTGAATGAATACGGTATACCGTTCTCCTTTTTGGCCGAGTATCCACGACTTCTATCCAAAGTGGGAATATCTTTAAACTTTCACCGTCTGAATCAGCTAATATACCATGTTGAACCAATATGATATGTAAAGGAAGAGAGCGAACGGAGATATAGACAATAAAAAGTTTTTATTGCCCTTACAAATCACGGACTTATTCAACTCGCACGTTATATTCCTCATGCTCTTTACTCTTGTGTATAAAGTCTTCTTGAAATCGCATCTTCTTGATAAATTTCCAACAGCGTCAACCTTACCAAGTCCTCTTTACTTACAGCCAAGAGCTCGCGCTCTTGATATCAATTATTGATCAAGCATCCGTTTGCAATTCTCATCACTGGCCATTTGACATAATGAAGGCCCATCCATCTGTTGGAAAGGCCATCTGGCTAGCCGGCTGTATTAGGCCCTCGCTAGCACTCAATGTGCCCTATGAGGACGGACTGACAATGGGACAAGGGTATGGTGTCTGCCAACTTTTTTGAACCTTGACGTACTAACTGCAGTAGGTATAATACTTTCCTCGGTCAAGGTCTACTTCACAATGCCGTTATGATCGGGTCTGCCTCCAAGCGATCCGAAGAACCTGCCGACAACAACTCGACTGGCATATTTGATTTCACAGAGCCAAATCCAGTTATGCCTGGCGTGAGCCTGAATGAATACTTTACGGCACCTACGTCGGAGGAGCTTGCCAGGGTCGTTGAGGAGGCAGAAAAAGCTTCATCTGATAAGGAGAAAAGGGACGGTGACAGTAAAATGATTTCCGACACAAAGATGACCATGCCAGGATGCCCAGCCGATATTCGATCACAGATTGAATTTGTATCCGACTACACGTCTTATTTGAAGGCTCTTGGCGTAAATGCGGCATCAACTATCTCGGGATATGGTCAATCAGCTTCTGTGTCAGGCGGCTATCTTGATGAGTCGACATTCTCATCTAATACCTTGACCTACATTGCGTCAATCAGTATCAACAAACAGCGTCGATTCTCCGATGAGACATTCACATTCAACACTGAAAAATATGAGGCCAACCAAAGACCGTTTCCTACAACCTTTGGGAATCGCTACATTCAAGGTACGTTATCGAATTCCTTTCGTGAACATCAAGTCTAATTGCTATACTAGGTTTCGATATGGGCGGTAAACTCATGGCCCGAATTATGCTTACCTTTGACGAATCATCTAGCAAGGAAGAAATCAAGGCTACGTAAGTCCAGAGGAGCTTCATCTTGGAATCAAGGGCTAACAATTTCTAGTGCTGAGGCCTCATTCGGTTTCTGGGGAGTCTCTGGAAACCTTAGTACTGACGTCAAAAACAACCTTGAAAAGTTGAGCAAGAAGGCAAAAGTAACTGTCAACGTCTTTTATCAAGGCGATATCGGTAGACAGCTACAGAGCAAATCAGACCCTTCCGACAAGTCAAACTCTGCTCAGCAAATATTTGAAACGGCCAAATCATGGTCAGACACATTTCTTGATATGGCTTGCGGTCATGATTACCGTTACGAGGTTCTACTTGATCGATACACCAACACTGGAAGCTTCCCCCAGAATGTGTCGATACCACACTACACTTCTGCGGGCGCGATTGCCTACCTGGTCTTGGGGGGGATGGTCAAGAATACGGAACTGCGGAAAACTCTACAGAGTCGTAAGATGCCAATCACTCCTATCAACGTCCATGCAATATCCTAACTCGCGGTTATAGAAGGAGTCTTGAGCCAGGAGGAGGACCTTAGGATCCAACAGGACGAAATCGAATTAATCGACGCCCAGAAGACATGGGTATGTTTCTAGTCAGCTCACGTCTACACTGGCATACTAATATAATATATCAGATTCGAGAAACTGCTAGGGATCCAAGCAATGCTCAGAAAACAGCCGATACACTCTTCAAGCGCTCCAGTGATTATTTGAAGAAATGGACCTCACACCTGGTAAGTGACTTGCGTCTAATATATAATCAGCGCTAACGGGAAATAATTAGGCCCCAGAGTCTCCCTATGTTGACATCAAGGCCTTTAACCAGTTTGAAACGCTTAGAGATCCAGACACAAAGGCCGTGACTACATATGACTGCAGCCAGTGGTATGAATCGTATGGTCAAGGCGGCTGGACCTGGTCCAGATTCCGAGTCTGCGTTCCGGCGCAAACAGAGGTGTTCAAGCTCGCTGTGTTCCGGGAAAGGGGCCAGTATCTTTGGGGGTCGGCTTGGTATTGGGAGAAAGACGCCTATCCTTCCTACGTGACAGCTGGGGTGGACTTGAAGAGAATCGATGGCAAGCCGGGTTCTTGGAAGTTCAGCTCGGGTGAGACTACCAGCAAGTCGATCAACGTCCACGGTAGTCAAGAGAAGCTCCAGCCCGGAAGATACAAGGTCCTGGCCAACTTTTACCAGATGGGCCCCTACTGGGATGAGACACCACTAAGCAAGGTGGTTGACTTTGACATTACCGTGACTAGATCAAACTAGGGAAGTGTACTTGGTCTCTTGATTGATGAGAAGGACTCGGAAAACGCTGGATTCGAGTCGCTTGATGCTGCATGAGCTGCTTCAACAGAGTTCTGCCGCTTTTGGAGGCCCTTGAGGATACAGGATATTCAACATTACCATGCATCTACTCGGGGATAGTATAATAGGAACGTTTTTAGACACTGCTCAAAATCAAAATTAATAAATCACTAATTACTTTCGCTTATTATTTACTTATCTATCCGAGGGATGACACAGTACTTCCACTATTAGCTGTTGATGTTAGAATCTTTAAGAAAGTCCTAAACCACACATTAGATCGCCGCTCTTTCCCTGCCACTATACAACGCAGATGCCGTCGTCATCCCATCGTTCACTCCCTACCCCCTTTCGCACAATGAACAAGTCTTGAGCGTCCCACTTTCTCTTGATCTGACTTAGTGCTGGATAATTATCCCCCCAGAACGACGACTGAAAGTCTGGTTCGAAGCCATTACCCTCGTTCATATAGGACCCCATCGTCTCCCCAGGTAGCTTCAACGCCTTTAACATGGGTCCTTGAACGTGCGTCAGCTCCATCTGAGTTTTCCGTTGCTCGTATAATGTCGTGTTCGAGGACCATCCTCTCACAATGGTGATGTGGCTCAGTGTGCGTCTCCATGCTGGATGTATAGAAGATGATACCGTGTTGCCGTTGTCGGCAACGGCACCACCAGAGACAATGTTGCCAGAAATTGCTTCGTTTGGAGATAGCTTGATACGGGAAAAGGTGTCTGCGATCTGTGATGGCCCCTTGGCAGACTCTATAAACGCTTTAGAGACAAGCCGAGAGGTCAACGCTGCTGCAACACCGCCGTGATCAGAGCCACTCAGGGTCTCTCTATAGTAATCACTTAGCCGACCGACAGAACTTATGTTGAACTGAAAGGTCGATCCGGAGCTGCGGATGTTTGAGCCAGATGTGCGGGTAAGCGCCAATGATAGTGATTCAAGTTCGGAAATGAACTCTTGGGGTTCTCTCTCCACAAGAGAAAATTGGAGTATCATAAGTGCTCGGGGTTTACTGGGGTTGCCATCAGCACTGCTCGGCATCGACGTATTTGGATAGGTGACATGGAGGCCGGAGGCGCCGAGGTCGTTGATCCTAGACAAGTGTTCGTATAGTCGCTGGGTGAGAGACCAAAAGACCTCGTCTGCCACCGGACTGCTTATCTGCAGAGTAGCAGTTGTGATGCGTGGGTTTTCATGAGCTCGGAGAGTAGCGCTAGTAATTACGCCAAAAGTTCCGCCGCCGCCACCTCGGAGAGCCCAGAAGAGATCCTGGTTTTGATACTCATTGGCATGGACCAAGGTTCCCTGTTTGCATAATGTCAGTATGGGTAGTATAACATGCGGCGGCAACACCAACATTTGCTGTAACCACATCAAATTGCAAGACATTATCGGATGCCATTCCCTTCCATGGACCTAAGATGGAGTGACCACCACCTTGCAGGTAGCCACCTGCGGCTCCTACAGTGCTGGAGTACCCCGCAACAACCGAGATGTTCTTGTCCGCACAGAACTGGTATAGATCGTAGGCTTGGACTCCGGCATCGACAATGACGGCGGGACTTGAGACATGAGAAATGTTGTTTGCCCCCGCTGGGAAGAATCTTTGAGCGTATGAGATGTTCTTCATAAAATGGGTGAAGATTTGGAGAGAGTGTGGCGCCAGCGAACGTCCCGCCATGTCATAGCCAGTGTTTTTGACCACCAGTCGAATGTTGTTCTCAGAGGCAAACTGAACCGCTGCTGCGATGTGACTAGCCGACTCAACGATGGCAGAGTACAAAGAGATCCGCCCTTGACCACAAGGAATATTTGTGGCCGTGTCGGGGTAGCAGCTTTGCAACGCTTCCGGTAGCGCCTCCCAGTTTGTCCATTGGCTCGAGCCTGTCTTTTGTGAGCCCAAGGCTTGTACGAGGTCAAGTATGAGCAGGAATTTGACGAAACCTTACCTGGAGTAGCAGCTCGGAATGAGGAGTTGGCTGACTGGCTTCGGATAAAGCTGCATTTTGTGACGTCGAAGTCAGGCAGGTGACAGGGTTTGGCAAGAGGTGTTACCGTATGCAGGTTGCCGTTGAGCGTCATATTCAGTGTGTCCCAGTCACTATTTGAAGGCCAGCACGGCTCTCCTGGCAAACAGCGGCATCTGCGACTAGAGCTTGAGCTGGCCGTGCACAGGAACGGCAAGACGCCTATCAGAAGTCTCATCATTGTGGTGGTTCTATAGCTGACTTCTTTTTATTCTGTCACTTGTCTGTCTCTCTTGGCATTTTTTAGTACAGTGAAAGTTCGCGCGAACTTCCGACCTCCGATAATGAAGGTGTTCGATTTTTAGATGGTTTCGCAGACTTACCATGGCAAGTTTAGGGTAGCGCAGCATGACGCATGCGTTGAAGAGTTCAACGGTCGGATCCGCAACCCCGCCCCCGCAACCCGCCAGGCATGTTTTTGGGTGAGATCTGCGGATGGGTTGGTGAGACCCTTGTTGTTATCGACGGAGAAGGCGCAGAAGATGGCCGTTTCCATGTATAGCTATCCGATCCTAGCTGGGTCAGACGGAAAGAAGTTGGCGACTTGCCCTTGTCCATCGAGCAGGTGCTATTTAAGCTCCTTGACGGCTTGTGCGAGACCTCTTTGTCGGGCTGGTGGAAGTTGAAAAGCTGAGTCATGGTCAAGGTCAGTTTCAAACAGAAAGCCAGAACGTGGGCCGTTCAAAACGCGCTGTGGTCCAGGCCCGCCTTTTTCGCTTCAACCTGCACCGGATCGCTGTCATAGCCTACCTACATTGGATTAGCTACCTGAACATCAGCCGCCTCACCACCGAGAACTGCGCACCACAACTCCACCATGCCTTCACATCGAGTTCGACAGATAGCCGTTCCGGCCGAATGGTCGGGAAGTGGCACCGGACGTGTCATCAGACGAGGCACTGGACGTCTCTTCCCCAGCAAATTTAGCCCGCCTTCAACGACTTCTACTCCCGAAGCATTGTTCCCAGCCGGCATTAGCTATGAAGCCATCCCGCCCGTCACTCGATTTATCCGTCGCGACGATCCGCAACAACTATTGATCTATGCCGATGGTGCCTGTCTCAACAACGGACAACCCAACCCGAGAGCGGGATGGGCATTCGTCTTCAAGCCCGAATCCGACCAGTCCACCGGCATTGCGTCGGGGCGCCTTGAGCAGAAAGGACCATTTGGCGACGAATCCACCCAGACCAGTAACCGAGCTGAGCTTCGAGCTGTCCTTGCGGCACTCCGCTTTCGGTACTGGCGAGGCGAGGGCTTCACGACGTTGGTACTCGCCACTGACTCGGAATATGTCGCCCAAGGCGCCACGGCGTGGGTTCGAAGCTGGGTACGCAATGGGTGGACGACGAGCACCGGTGCCGAAGTCAAGAACAAGGATTTGTGGGAGATGCTTCTCGGAGAGATTGAGTCGTGGGACGAGAGGGGTTTGAAGATTCAATTCTGGAGAATCCCTCGAACGCTGAATGTCATGGCGGATGACGCCGCCAAGCAAGCTGCTACGAGGGTGGAAGCCCCGGATCGACACTACGACATTAGTGGCATCCTGACATGATGCCTATCTGAAACAGTCCGCAATACATATACCGGCATGCAAAATGCCGTGATTGTCTGGCATGACATGGAGCTTTGGGTTAGGCAAACTAGTGCACAGTATCGACGGCACTTGTTATACTTGGGTCTTTTGCGCGCTTTTGTGCCATAGTTAAGCTTGAATACTGACAGGTTGATTGTAGAAGCACATCCTTCATTAATGAGTAGTTTAATCCTAACCCTCGAATACTGACTACTTGACGCAAATGCAGTTGGCGTGCTGTGATGGTGGCCAAGGCTCACAGTCGAAAATCTGCTCGTATCAGCCAGAATTCTGTACTGCCCAGAAACAATAGAAGTGGACAATTGCTCAAAAAAGGTGATGTGATTTATTCCAAGCTATCAACCGGAGTAGCGCTGACTGCCAGCGGGGCGGCCCCTACATTGGCGCCCCCGCTAGCGGTACCCCGTTACTTAAGCTTTATTCGCACCGCCGGCGGTGTACCCATTATCCCCCGGACTGCAGCCTTAATAGATTAGATTAGCTTTACGCTTAGGCTACTTTGCTTCTACCCTGCCGTGCGATATATTTATTATAATATGGTATTGTCTAAATACAGAGCAATTAAAAGGGGCTTACATGCATAAGTATAGGTAAAGCTGCAGTTGTGACGTCTTATCTTGCCTGGCTTGAGAGTAACGCGCGCGCCGTCTTAGCTGAGCGACAGAAGGATTACTGGCAGTAGTTAGGGTATTGCAGCTGTAGCGACGTAATATAGTGCGAGTAAGGTGGCTTAAACATTCGCGTAGCACTTGAGACTTCCATTTTGACAACGCTGCTCCTTGCAGCCGAGGCTGTCTGTCGAAAATAGATCCTAGTCTATAGCCGAAAGTCTAGCCGCAAAAGAACTTTTTCTTTGTGATGCTCGGATTCGGCTCATGTCCATCGTCATTTGCTCCGACCGGGACGCGCAGCGATTGGCTAGAGCGTAAGGCGTTGCTATAGGTGATTTATAGACTAACCTAAGAGCCAAGATTCGTATTGTCTATGTTAATGATGGAGTCAAAAAACCAGCCGAGTTTGGTGGTAAATGACTCAAAAAACGCTGGTAATTGTCTTGCTTGGCTATAGGACAAGGCAATTTTACGTGTTGCTGCGCTTGGCAGCGCATAGACAGCCACTAAATAAAGTTCGATAATGTAATTTTATAACTCATGAGTCGGCAGCCTTTATGCGTGCCCTGCCTGCTAAGGAGTACCGAGATCTTTGATAGAGGAGATGCAGCAGTTTGTGCAGTGAAAAAAGCAATAATAGACCCTGGTAAAAACGGTTAGAATTACTCTGTGCAGCGAGCTTTAGACACGGCAGAGTCACCAAGAAAATATAGCTCGTGTCGTGGCGGCGTTGGCAGCCTTACAGGACGAAGATTTGGACGCTGTAAGTTAGCGTGTACTCAAGATTAACTGGCAAAGCAATGGGTATAAAGAGTGGGCAGGAAGCTTCCCAATAAGTAAAAGATTGAGCGCTACCATAGGAAAATTCAAGGCCTTTGCATTCGCTTTTCTTGAAACGCTTTACATTCGTTGTTGTTCAACGCATATACCTTTCATTTTCTTTCGAAGAGCCACTCAACACTCGTTCCATACCAACATCGGTTTCCCTCTGTATCGTTCTTTGAAGGGAGCCATGATTATCACCCGCGTTCTACTTGCTCTGCTCTTTGGCTCCAGCAGCCTGGCAGCAGATTGCAAGAGCTATCGTGTCGACAGAGCCAAACTTGCAGAACTTGGAGAGGCGGTTGAGAACCGCGTCGCCACAGAGAAAGCCCCCGGTGAGGTTTGCCACAACGGCGACAGTGGTGCTTGTGACGCTCTGAAGAAAAAGTTCAAGACACATGAGTTTCACTCGTAAGTCGATTCCCATTGGAACGCTACTGCATTTTTCGGGGTTGCTTATTGGCGCAGCCAGCATCCCATCTCCGTGGCATGGAACCAATACACCAACGATACGTGCTTGCCCGATCCCGCGGCTCCCTGCAGCAACGATGGCTACCCTCTGCATGTCGTCAATGCTTCGACCGCCGAGCATGTGCAGCGGGTCGTCGAATTTGGTACGTCACCAAGACTCTACTAAAAGCTATCGTGGCGATTCTGACGTCCATAGCTCGTGAGAATGCCGTCGCTCTAAACATCAAAAACACTGGCCATGACTACCACGGTCGTTCTAATGCGCCCTACGCGATCTCGCTTTGGACTCACAGCATCAATAGCCTCGTCCGCAACCCCACATCATTCCAGCCAAAAGGTTGCGACGAGGCTTTCACTGGATCCTCGATTACCGCTGGGGCAGGTGTGCAGATGGGCCGTATTTACGAATTCCTTGAGCCTCTTGGCGAAACTGTCATCGGAGGAACTAGTACAAGCGTCGGACTGGCTGGATATGTCATGGGCGGCGGACATTCCATCATCTCAGGCAAGTACGGTCTGGCTGCAGATAACGTACTGGAGTTCGAGGTAGTGCTCCCAAATGGTGAGATTGTTCACGCCAATGAATGCCAAAATGACGACCTCTTCTGGGCTCTGCGTGGTGTAAGTCCTTATTCATTATCCGGCAAGACTTGATGAAGGCTTACTCAACCAGGGCGGTGGATCAACTTATGGCATTGTCACCTCCATCACGACCAAAACTGTGCCCACGCCGAAAATCACGGCCTCGACGTTTACATTCTTCATCAACCCCGACGATCCGCAGGCCCTCAATGTGACGAGTTTCTTTATCAGCAAGCTTCCCAATATGGTCGAACAGGATGCCAACGGTTACTTGACTAGCCTTCACAAGTCACCACATCCTCTGAAGCCGAATCCCGCGGGCCCCTTTTTCACTGGCATTCTCGGATCCATGGTGCTCGTCGACAGCGAGGACCAAGAGAAACTTGAGAATATGCTACGAGACGTGGAGGAGGAAGCCAAGGAAAAGTTCCCAGCAGTCGAGCTCAAGATTATCCAGACAACAGTCTACGACTCTCTGCTCCAATATCTTACAGCTTTTTCGAGATTCCTTCCTAACAATGCAGGCAGCAACATGCACATTGACTCGAAGCTCGTGAGCGCCGACATGCTGCGCAATGAAGAAGTTGTACATGAAGTCAATCAGCGTGCAGTTTCTCGTGGCCCCTCCTCTACCATGGGCATGCTTGTTGTTGGTGGCAAAGGTCTGCGCGACGCCCAACCCGTCGGCGGCAGCAATGCGGTCCACCCAAGCTGGAGGAAGACAGTTGCATCAGTCTGTGAGTATACCTCGCCGCTAACCAATATCCAGGTTCCCGCATTATACATCTTCTTTACTTACATCGTGCACAGTTGTCACCGAGAACTTTGCTCCATTGAATGCCGAAGCCCGTCATAATGCTATAAGCAGCCTCCAAAAGACACTCGAGCCGTTTGTTAACCTGGACCCAAGCATGGGAAGCTACAGCAATGAAGTGAGTTTATAGAGAGATGAAGGGTTCATGTCGTGTGTTAATCAAGTTTTCAAGGCTCTCGCCGGTTCGAACTGGAAGATGGAATTTTGGGGCGACAACTATGATAAACTGGTAGAGATTAAGAGGAAGTATGATCCTGAGGATCTTCTATGGTGCCACCCTTGCGTTGGTAATGAGAGGTGGGAGCGACAGAGTGACGGTCTAGTTTGCAAGGTCACTGAAGAAGTGTGATTACAACAGAAATGACACCTCAAAACCGGCTGCCCTGGTATCTTTTGCCTAGGAGAGGCCTTAGCTATGCTGCTTCAACCTGTGTAATTGCAACGAGAGGTCCGAAATAGTCCGTTGATAGTATCTGTAGATTGACATATTCTATATAAGCCGATGATTGCAATGTCGAATGGTATATTCTTTCCAACTTTCTCCTCGTCAGCTCCAATCTACCACTCTCTTCATCAAACTCCTCATCCTCAAACTTTCTCCTACACATGTTTTCCTTTCATGTCTTCCCCCTTCATCAAGATTGAATTACAGCTCTCTACTCTTGCCCTCCTCGCCTTCGCTGGCGGCCTCGCCTCGGCCGCGAATGTTGGCGTCCGGCATCATCGACACCAAGAACGACGGCCTGGGTGGCACCATCACCGTCACGAATGACACAGTTCTGGCCTTCAGGCAGTACACACTCGAGTCAGTCTTGACGTTCGCCCTCTACTGGAGGGGCTCCAAGACGAGCGACCTCCCGAAAGGCTTCCGCATCAATAACGAGCGCGTCAGCGCCGCTAACACAACCGACTCCAATATAAAGGTTTATAACGTCCTACTATATTCACTTGTCTACTTTTCTTTCCACAAATTACCTATTATAGACTACTATAACCGTTTATATGTTGACTCTTCCAGCTGGTTCACTCTTTCTAAGGATTCCTTTTTCCCTAACCCGAGCCTAATCCGCCCTCTAATGAGAGATCCCGATCCTGGCTTTTGGCCGCTAGCAGATAGGCGTATCAGGTACGCTAGCAATCGAGCACTGACCCTTGGTCACGCAGTCGTCACTCTCCTTGGCGCAGCTCACATATAGCGACTTGAAGTTCCAGCCGCCCGACCACAGCGTCCGGCACATGTTCCTGCTCGCGTAGCCATAGCCGAACCAGAGTCCGCCGTCGTCGCCGCAGTTGGCTTGCTCGTAGTAGCTGATGCGGATCTCGCCGTCCGGGCAGTTGCCTGCGTCCGAGATGTCGAGGCTGCCAACCGCGCAGTCCGTGTTGATGCACCTGCCGGCGCCTCCGACGACGGCGACGTCATCGTGTGTGGTGCCCGTGCAGTCCGTCTTATAGCGCGTCTTAACGTGGAAGGCAACGTCATCATTCGCGCGGCAGACGCCCTGCTGTGGTGAGGGGGCCGGCTTGCACTGGCCCTTGCTCACGCAGTCGTCGGCTTGCTTGGCGCAGCTCACGTTCAGCGACTGGAAGTTCCAGCCTTCGGACCACAGCCCGCGGCAGGTCCCTCGGCTTCCGTAGCCGTAGCCGTACCAGTCGCCAGAGCATCCCTTGTTCTGCCAGTAGCTGATGCTCACTTGGCCGTCCGGGCAGTTGCCTGCGGCAGCAATCTCGAGGCTGCCGACGTCGCAGCTCGTGTCGATGCACTGGCCGATGCTGCCCTCGGAAATGGTCACGTCGTTGTTCACTTTGCCGCCGCAGCTGGTCGTGTAGCGCGTCTTGAGGCTGAAAGCATTGTTGGCGGTCGGCGGGTTGGAATCGTGGGCGTCAAGGCACTCTTTCTCGGACTTATAGGAATAGACTCGGGTAAAGAATTCGATGACTTCTGCATCGTAATATTCTGGGTTAAAGAACTTGCAGAAGTAACCCTCTCCGCACACTTGATCCACCTCCTCGCGGGAGAGAGGAGTTGTAAAGCTATGTTCATAGAGGCGAGCCAAAACCTGATGGCAAGGGCTTGCGGGCGGTCCCTCGTGCGCGGCGAGACACTCCGCCTCATCGTCAAAGCCGAACTTTCTCACGATTTCAGTCACCAGATAACCGCTGACGTTATAGTCGAACGTTTGACAGACATCGGCCGTCCCGCACTCCTGTTCTACTTCCCGCAGCGTGTCAAGGGCAAGCATGGAGCGCAACGTCTCAACGCACTTCTCGGTCGGCTGCGGCACCCAGGGCAGCTTTGATTCATCAGCGGCCTGTGGCATGGCCCTGCCCAATGCCGCGGTGAGAAGAATAGTAACAACGGCCTTCATTGTGATAAACTATTTGTAGAACTTGGCGGCTCCGATTTATAATTAGCTGTAGGACCAAATAGAATTAACAGGTGATAGCGATGACGAACCAGGTCGATGAGTATGGAAGACAACAGAGTGTAGTAGATGAGAATAAATCAGTGTTTCTGCTTGTGTTGCCAGAATAATTCTTAGTAACTGGTTCTGCGTGTATATATATATATATGAGGCTATACACTTTCTGAAATGCAATTTAATTAGACAAGGTTCTGGCCACTACGCAGCCATGATATCGAGTAGTAGATATCAATATAGACATACGACACTATCTGCCCATAAAATCCGAGTCATGCGAAAGAAGAATACAATAAAACATACGACCTAGTGTTAGGGTTGAAAGCCACTCTACTCAATCCACCGGGGTTATGGTAAGTAGAGTAGACGTGTAAATCCATGAGTAGATCCACTGCGCTATAAGCAAATATCATTGGTGTAATAGTACCCATCGTTAAGGCTGATGGTACTTGCTAGCAGGGCGCGCAATTTTAAATGCGCGCCTGGGCGCCCCCTGTATTGGCCGCCGATATCCGTCCGAGAGGCTTCGTGCTGGCCAATGACGTGGGTTTCCGATCGGAAGGCCGACGTCGAGGACTTTGACGTCGTACCACACCCGGCCAAGGCCGTCAGGGGTCGGTACTGTCAAACAAGATCAGTCAGCTAGGAAGTGTAAAAAATGCCATGGTATTTGAATAATATGTGAGGAATTGTACAACTAAAAATTTGCTTTGCTTGAGCCTAACTGTGTGCTCTCATCCACTCAGGAAGTTCCAAGAGGTCACTTCGTTCAGCCACGCGTAGTTTTCGACGTCGACATCGAAATTAATGTCGTCGAAGTTAATGTCATTAAAATTGATATCATCGAACCTGAGGTTGAGATCAAACCCACCCACGACCTGATTGCTGTTATTTGAAGGGAAGTTGTAGCTTATTTTCAGGTTGCTCATTGCCTGCTGTTCCAGCAACCCCAATCTTGGCTGCGGTGTGGCTGTCGCCGAAAGAATCTTGGCGGACAATATTCGAAGTGCTGCGACACATTTATGCGCCGACTGGCTAACGTGTTGCAGCCTCTCAAAAACGTGAATTGCTTGCTCCCAGGACTGGTTGATGCCCTCGACAGGAAAGACGTCGGGGCGCAATTTGGCGGCGATGAGTACCGTCGAAGCCGAGAACAGGTAGTACAGACGGTACCACCACGCAGGCAACAGTCCGACCGTGCCATCTGAGACTTGGTGATCAAAAAATGTCTTGATGGTGGCTCTCGCTGTGGCGACACATTCTAGCGCGCATTGCTTGCGCAGTTGAGATGCGAGTCGTTCCGTGTCTGATTCTGTATCCGCCTGCGGCAGGCATACCAAGCTGAGGATAGGGCGGAGAAGCAGGATCCTCGCATGCAAGAAGCGCAGGCGAAGAATAATACTTGGCCGTGCCGCGATGGTCCCCAGAGAGTGTTGTTGCAGCTGTTTTGGAAGACCATGTTCCCATTCGGCCATTTCGCCGTCGATCTGGACAATGTTTGCCAGGTCGCTGGCAGCTCTCTGGCTTGGCTTTATACGTTTTGTGCGACCGGTTGGGGTGGAATATAACGTCTCGACCAATCTGTGAGTTATTTCATAGAGCTCGGCAGACTTGACGAAAAATGCGACGTCGGTTGAGTCATTGGGTATTTGCGTGTCCTCTTCCGCGATAGCTGGTAGGGGAACAGAGCTGGCAAGCTCAGCAGATATCATTGCTGGACGGCCATGAGTGAGGGCGACCATTCTATAATCTCGTCAGTGATTTTCGCCACTATGGTAATAGCTCAGATACTCACCTGTCCATCAGAACACACCCGTGCCATATTTTGCGATAGCGCTGTTGTTCTACTGTGGGCGATTTTGCAGCCGAAGTCTCAGCCAAGTGCAATCCTAGGCTCTGGGCTGTCCTGACTGCGAGCCCTACTACCATCCAAGTTTGATGCGGTGAATTCGTAGATTGTAGATATTGGCTGGTAATTAGCAAGTATTGGACTACTTCAAGACTGCCGGAATCCCATGTGGTGACATCAACGAGATCTTGGGCACGCTGAAAGTAGTCCTGGCTTGTGTCGTTCCGGGCTGTGGCGTCCTGACCTTCATGCAATTGGGTCGAGAGGGCAAAAACAATGTTTAATGAAGCCATAAATACAGACTCATCGGTATTAAAAGGCTGGCCAGCAAACAGGCGAGCATACCGGTCCTGCCAGTCTTCCTTGTTCAGAAAAGGGTACAGCGGGTCGATATATAGCCAGTATGTGCGCATCAACTCGTCGGCCAGCCTTCGCGTAGGTAAAAGCACATTTTTCGGGCCATGGCGACATTTGGATACCGATCGAGGTGGCTGCGAGATTCTTGGCCCTTGACTCCCCACAGGATAACTATTGAGTGAGTGGCCCAGGCGGGCGTCGATGGCGGCTTTGATCTGCGCAGTAAAAGAGCCCGCGCTGCTGCTGCCAAAAAATTCAGTCGTGGTGTCGTCACAAATCGCCGTCATTGAGTCAACAGTCGGCGAGTTCCCGGGCTCTCTCGCTTTTGACGATGATTGCGGTTGGGAGAAGCCAGAGCTGGTGGAACTCGGCTTCGCGGCAAGCGGCCTATGGGCAGGGTGAAGGCTGCCGCGCGGTGGTTGCCATGTACCAGCCTGCGATGCAGTGGGACCACTTGTTGGTGGAATAATATCGCCATCAAATGCCTTGTCACGTTTCGTCATCGACGCCGCATTTGCGCCGCTGGGCGAAGAGTGATTTGAGTCGGAACCATAGTGACACTTGTCGCGGTGGTCCAGCTTGCGGGAACAATTACCACACCCTAAATAAAATACAGTCAGCATTTCAAGTTTCGGGAGAGGCCAAGATGAAACAATTTGCAGGGTTATGGCATACCTGGCCGGGCGCCGTCACACTTGACCTTGCGACTCCTGCAGCGATCGCAAGCGACTTCTATCTTGAGTCTCTTTCTGCGACGGACCAGCGGCACCGACGGCGGCAATTGGCCGTCTCTAGGTGGAATCGGTGCGGACATGTCATTGATAGGTCTGCAAGCTTTCCGAGCCGCGAGACGCAAACATGCAGTAAAGAGACTAAGCAATCGTCGCTTAGTTCGGCCGGTGGTACATGACGAAGTTATCAGCGCCTGGAGCGAGATGTTGTAAGATCAAGGTGGAGTTCTCCACCAACTTATTAGCACGAGAGCCGGATGACCGAATCCAGCTTCTCCGTTCAGAACTATAAATATCACTACAGCTGTTTCTGAATTGAAACCTACTTATCAAGATTATTCAAGAGACTTGCGCCGTTTTGCGGACGGGATGTTTCGTCGAAACGTGAAAGGCGTGGGCGGTGCGGCCTAACAAGAATTTACACCTTGACAAGAAAAAAGTGGTCAGGTTGCCTTTGACCTAGAGACGCTCATCTATAGTCGCCTCATCCTTTCTTCTGGAGAGCTTCCAGGCTGTGTGCTGTGGGTGCTTGCAGGGAGATAACACATCCACTACGGCTTGGCCTTCACAATCTACAGCCCTTCTCCCCTTGCCAAGGGTTTTATCAGCTGGTTATTCTTGAACTCTGACCGCGTCTTCTAGCCCCTGACTCGCGCCGTTGAAAGCAAGCCCCGATTTCCTAAACACTGGGCCGGGCTCCATATAAACCATGACCCCGCGATCGTTGACTTGACTCGTGCAGCAAAGAGGAAACTTGGTGGATGGGGACCGTTACGAAAGGGATCTGAACAATGTGGGCGGAGGGCGGTGATGGGTGGAGAAGAAGGAATAGGGCTGACTCCTGCCGTTACTAAATAAGTATGTCAGAGAGAATCAATTTCATTGCTGCTTTATGGGATTTGTTGAGAAAGAGTGTGTGATACTCAAAGAAAAACTGTGCTTTGAAAGGGGAACATATCGCGTTGTTGTCGAAAACATGGGAACAGTCCGGGTAGGTGATAGGTATTGTATGCTTATGTCGATATGTTCATTTCAGTAAAATCTCGCCGCCAAAATATCATGTCTACAGTGCTCTGCCAAAGCTGTGTTCTGACTGGGATGAAAACCGCGCAAAAAGAAGTGCTTGCAGTGTTGCGTCTGTTCACAGCAGGCAGATACTATTGCTCCAAAGCCAAGCCCCCATAAGTAAGCTAGACATGATCAAGATGATGCGCGGGATGTATTGTGGAAGCGAATTTATCCACCGCTACGGAAAGGAAGGAGGAAAGGAGGAAACCCCATAACCTGGCCTAAGTGCGCGCGTGTGCTCGTAGCACCAGCCAAAAGCCATGACTCTAGGGCAGCCAAAAGCATCTCACCTAGGTGGTGCATGATCTGGTGTAATGAAGATCAGCTCCTAATCTTTCCAAGCCGCGTCATTTACATAAACCTGATTTAAACTCTTCCATTTACTTAGTATAGAGTCATGCAGCTGCTTGGCGTCTTGGTGTCTTGGCTATGGCAGCCTATAGCTGAGTTGCGGCCAAAACTCATTTTACATTCTTATATCAAGGTTAACACTCTAGGGATACCCCGAAAGGGTACATAAAAGTTTTTAGTATAGTAATATATGCTTTTACGCAATATAGAGGACTATAAAGGCCTAGTATCTATATTTACTTACTAAAATAATAGTATTAACTCTACCTTATATAAACTTTTTTATATTATACCTATTACTATTATAAATATAGTCTTACCTATAGTTATAGCTTCTAAAGCTTAGTTTAATAATATAGTAAAGTTAATAGCTTAGGCGCTTATAAAGGCTAATATTCTTATAAATAAATAGCTAAATATAATATATACCTAGTTATTACTTTTATACCTACTATAACTTAATTTATTATTAATATATAGTTATAGATATAGTTAATTACTAGATTTATTATAAATATAGAATATTAAGGTAATAATTATTTATATTTATAGTTAAGAGTATAAAATATTATATTTAAAATATTAAAATTATAGTTATATTTTTATTAGTTATATCTAGCTTAAGAGGCTAGCTAAAAATACCTATATAAACTATATATACTCTTCTTAGGTATATTAGTACTTATTAAAAAGTATTTATATATACTCCTAATATTTATTAATAACTAATAAGGAATATAGTCTAACTAGTACTACTAAATTCTTATAGAGAAGAAGAAGAAATAGTAAGTCTATATAATATTACTTAAGTATAATAGTAATAAATCACTATAGTGTTTACTAAGTAGGTGACTATTTAGGCTTAATAGAGTTAGATATATACTTAAGTGTATATAATAATAGTTTATTTAATAATATAATTATAAATTTCTATTCTTAGTTTATATAAATATTTACTTTTTGGATAATCCTTCCTCTACTTAACTTCTATTAATACCTATTATTATAGATAAATTCTACCTTAAAAAAGGTATTAATTATTAAGAGCTAGTTAAGAACTATCTAGACTAGGATATATACCCTTATTATTATATAGTCTTATAATCGCTTATATAAGAAATATTACACTTATTACTACCTATATAAGAAAGACCTTAAAAGTAAAAGTAATATTACTAAATAACTAGTTAAGGAATAAATATTAATTATATTAATAATAAAGACTTAATTATTCTTAACTTAATAAATAATATAGAGATACTATTAAATTAGCTTACGCTTTAAAGCCTAACTATTAATAGTTAGGCTATACTTTAAATAGCTATTTTAGATAGTATATAAGTAAGATAAGTAAATTTAGTTATTATATATATAAAAATAAAAGAAAAAGGGGTTTCCTTTATTTTTTAGCTATTTAATACTATAGTTAAATATAAATATATTAGTAATATTATAATACCTTAGATAATATCTAGTCTAAATTATATTAAGAAGTATACCTTATAATAATATTATTCCTTATAATTCTAGTACTAAATATATAATAATCTACTATTATTAATTATATTAGATAGTATTAATCTTATATTATTAGTATTATTAAAGAAGAAATAGGAGATAAAGGCTATTATTATTCTAAAATCCCTAAGTAGTATTATTAATTATTATTCTAGTATTTAGCATATAATAATACTTAAAGGGCTATTAATATTACTTAGGTATAATTTATCTAATAAGAAGATTATAATTAATCTTCTAATAATATATCTTAATAATTAAGAGCCTATAATAGTAATTCTATATATAGTAAAAAAGGCTTATATAGTTTTATAGACTTTATCTTTAAGGAGAAAGCTTCTAATAAAGTAACTAGTAAGTATAAATTAAAATATACTAGACCTAAAGCTAGAGGTTAAAGATAAAACTACTAATAATATAAGGGCTTCCCCTTTTTTTATAAGTAATCCCCTTAATATAATAAGGCTTATAAATATAATTAATAGTAAGATAGATAGTAATAGTACTAAATAGCTTAAGTAAGAGGCTTAAGTAGCTAAAACTAAGGCTAAAAAGGTTCTACTACTTTATATTAGAAAGAGAATATTAAAGGAATAAATAGGGTATAAGGTAATATATTTATATATATAAAATAGAAATAAGGAAAAAAATATAAAAAATAAAAATAAAAAAAAATAGAGGTTATTCCTCTAAAATTAATTATTAGATTATATAAATACTAATATCCCTATATAATAGTAATTTATTAAGCTTTTAATAAGCTTTTATAACTAGCTCTAGTAAGGCTAGCTTAGGAAGAGTACCTTTATTATAATATTAATTAAGTTACTTATATAGGCGTATATAAGTAGTAAAAAAGGGTATTTCTAGATTACTTTTACTTAGTAAACTACTAAACTTATACTAGATTATATAATTATAAATTTATTAAGTTTCTTCTAGTAGGTATATATTTAAGGTATCTATTAATAGTTAGAAGATAGAATTTAATATTACTATCTCCTTATATAGTAAAGGGAATATATAATTAGGTATAGTACTACGCCTAATATTATAATATAGAATATTTAGTTTTCTAGTAACTTTACCTTCTTATAGATAAATATTATAAATATTCTATTTATATATAAATATATATAAATCTTCTTAGATTAATAGTATATATAAATATAAAATTAGAATTTTATTAATAAGATTTTTAACTTAGAATAAGTTATAATTATTAAGTATAAAAAAATATTTTTATAAGTAAATATTAATATATTTATATATAATATGAAGAGATAACTTACTTACTAATATATAATAAGAATAGTAAGGAAATGCTACTATCCCTTAATATATATATTATATATACTTTAGCTATATAACTAGACTTATATAAAGGTAAGCTCTAGTAATATTACTTTATTATCTTAAGAGTTTTATAGTCTAGTAGAATTATCTTATATTTAATATTATACTAGTATATTTTATTAAGAGAGAAACTAGTATAACCTAGTAATAATAGTAGTTTCGCTACTATAATTAGAGTATAGTTATATAGGTATTAAGTTTTATATATTTAATAATATAAGATATTACTATATAATACTTTATAATATTATTATAGAAACTCTAATATAGAACTAGGTAATATAATATAAATATATATTAATTCTTATATAAATCTTAAATCCTTATAGTTATAGCTTTTTATAGCTATTAATAGACTAGATCTAGTTAGGTCTATATATTTTAAAGTTTATATATAGTATTTTTACCTAATTTTAATAATTATAAAGCCTTTTATTTAATACCTTTTAATAAACCTTATATAATATATCTTAGCTAATATTAATATTAGCCTTATATATATAAGCTATTAGGAATATTTAACTATTATTAAGTATTTATTATTTAGTTATAAAATTATATAATAAATATACTTATACTTACTCTTATATAATATCTAACTACGTTTTATTATAGTAGTAATAGATATATTATTTATAATAGAGTATAGAAACTTAATAAAGGGATAGTTAAAAGCCCTCCTTTATAAGTTATTAGTAAATATTATAGTTATTAAGATTTTATTTAAAATAGAGCATTTAAATATAGTTAGTAAGCTCTTTATAATTATATAAATATACTTATAAGGTAATATTATTCTTTTATAGGAAGTATTAAAGAGTTTATAGGTATATATTATAGCTATAGTCCTTATATAGGATCTTATAGATTTTCTTATATATTATATAAAGATTTATATATTTAATAATTACCTCTTTAAAATAGATTAAGATTAATAGATAGACATAGTATAATAAAAGTAATAAATATATAATAATAATATAAAAAGAGAAGGGAGGTAAAAAATTAGATAAATCTTTTACTTAATAAGCTAGTACTTATATAAGTATAAATATAGCTATTAAATAAGTATATATATATATATATATATATTAAAGCTATATTACTTACTATACTATATATAAGAATATATAATATTATATATATATAGATAATAATGCTTTTATAAAAATAATTCTTATTTATTACTAATAATACTTAAGTGCTTATACTAACTATTCCTAATTCCTAATTATTAAAAATAGGTATTCTACATTTATAACCACTATCTAATACCCTAAATAATATATAATTACGTAAAAGTAAATATATAAATTATTCTAACCCTATACTAGCTATAAATCTAGTAAGTATATAATTATATAAGATATTATATAATTATATAGGAGTATTATTACTAGTATTTTCTTTAGTAACTATTAATATTAGTTAATAGACATTTTATAATATTTTATATACTTACTATAGTTATTAGTAGCCTATATAACACGCTAGAGAGTATATATAATAATATATACTTATATAAGAGATATATTTATATAAGCTTCCTTAATATTACTTTTATATATATTTATATTATTAGAGTTATAAATACGCTTTCTCTTAATTAGAGTAGTAATAATAGTTACTTATATATATATTAGTACTAACTATTTTATATATATATATAATAACTTATAGTTAAGAAAGTACTTATTAGTGTATTAGCTATAGTAATAGTTTATATAGCCTTTAGAAAGCTATATAAGTATTATATATTATAAGAAATAGCTATTACTATTATAATATTACTTATAATACTTTATAGGGTCTTAGGTAATTTTATAAAGTTACTTAAGTACTACTTTAGCTAGTTATATATATATAACCTTAGTATAGAGATTATATATTTTATAATTAGTATTAAGTATCTTTTATAGCCTAAGAAGTCACTTAAGTTATATTATATATTAGTAGATTATTTATTTATATATATAAGTATATATACTTTAAGGCGTAAAGTTATTTTAAGTATTTTAAGTAAGGCCTTCTTTAAAATATTACTTTTAATCTTAGTAATAATATATATAGTGACTTCTATATATATATTATTACCTTTCTTTATGTCTTTACACATAAGTAACTCTATACTATTAAGAGTTTTTAGAATAGTAATAGGAGTATATACTATAATATATAAAAGTATATATAACTACTTATATAAAGCTAATATAATAAACATTATATAAAATAGTATAAAATAGTATAGAATAGTAAGACTATTACTATAAATAAGTAAATATATTAGGTATAGTATATTAATAAGCTTATATATATATATTTATATATAGGTATATATATATATATATATAAGGTAAGGGGGGGGGGACTAATAAAAGATAATAGCTAGAGAAGAAAGAGGGAAGGTTTATATAAGGTTTAGTAAGTAATAGAAGTAATATATATTAAACGGGGAGGCTGCCCTAGCTATTATATATTTTCCCTGCTAAAAATGTAACTATTAAAATTATACACGCCTACGTACGCACGCTTACGTATCTAATTACATATAAGGGGTAAACTGAGTTTTAGCCGTAACTCAGCTATAGGCTGCTATACTTGGCGGCACTAATATGGGGGCTTAGTTACAGGGTCTTTACGTAGTCTCCGGTGGAATAGTTGGCTATATCTGAAGATGTGCCGCTACTGTAGTTTTGACGACCCCATCATATGGCTCGTCCGCCACCTCTTGGCACAAAATATTATATAGCCTCGTCAGAGATATTTACGGCGCGTGCACGCGCTCGACACAGCCAAGCGGGACGAAACTAAGCTGATTTTAATGCAGGATCAGATGATTTCGTGCTATTTGGTCACTAAGTACTTGAGGGATTTTGGCATCTGCGCTGAGTCGCTTTTATTTCATGGCTTTGTCTTCTACCTAGCGCAGCATCTATAGGCCAAGATTAGTACAGCATACAGCAGCTCATAAGTTTCTGGAGACGGGAACGTTCCGTGCAATACACGTCATTTTAATTGATATTATTGGAACATTGGCTTATTATAAAAATGAATAAGTTGAATGTAGGCTATAGTAGGCTTTAACAAGTCGTGAACTAAGGGAAGGAAAAAGTATATAAAGCTGCTAAGAGCGCCTGTCGAATTGAGAAGGCATCAGCTAATATCATTATTTCTCGATTTATTTCCAACTAGTTCTCTCGATTGATTTCCTATACTTAAAATCTTTTCATGCTTCTCTACACTTTCAAGATGAAGTTGATTAGTACGTTATTTCTTTCTTCACAAGCCTCTTACATCCAGAGTAAGGGCTTTCGCCATTATCGCACCCAACAACTAATATATATAGTGCAAGCCCTCGTTAGCTGCCTTTTGCTTAGCTCAGCGCAGGCAGCAGCACCTCGCCGCAATATCTATAGCATTCGCTGACGTGCTGACAGAGCAAAGCGTATGCGAGGCGGACAAAGGCGCTTGCAAGTGGGACGTGGTGAGCAAGACGTGCCAGCGTACCAGCTATCTAACATGGACACGTACGGAACTCTTTACGCTATCATACGCGGGGCTTGAGGCGGACGACTGCCCTAATCTAGGCAAACGTATAGCTAGGGATGGCGTACTAAAGATTCAGACGTGTCCGGCTGATGAAATGGACTGCAAGATGACGGCGCGCCTAGTGCCTCAGCAGCGGTGCGAGCTGCGCGGGCAGGTGATAGCTGATACGGCCTGCAGTGAAGAGGCCGGCTCTTACCCTGATAGGAAGAACCTCAAATGCTGTTTAATTGCGGCCAACGAGCCGGGCACTTGTGAAGCGCTGGCTTGGGGCCACCGGTTTTTCTGCAACCGTTGGGGGATGAAAACGATTGGTTCAACGCGTGATATCCCGGTCGATGACTTGAGAAACCACCTAGGAAAGGTAGCTCTCTTGATAAGATTGGCGGTGGGGTTGTATTATGAAGAAGGCACGACGGATAATATTGATTTAGAATTATATTGCAATTGCAGACCTACTATATCAGCTACTCAAGTTGGGTACAAGCTAGTATAGGGCACGATTTAACAAGCTATTACATAGTTAATTCCTCTTTATTATATATACCTCTGTAGAAAAGAACATAATTTAGTATTCTTCTGTACTGGATTCTCTCGTTCGGCAACATGCTCGTAGGGGCCTTTCAGAGGCGCATTCCGATTGGCCCGTCACACGGCCCCTTTCGACAGGACGGATTGATCATGCTTGCCCAGACAGCCACTGCGGCCTTTGCACGCTGGATCTAGTGGAAGAGGACGGCATTAATTTTGAGTGCGTTTGTGACGAGTTTGTGAGATTTCCGTGCAAATAAATACTTTTGCTCACACAATGCAGGCAGTCTTGATGGAACTCAAGTCAGCGCACTCTATGTGGAGAGCTGGAATGGTGGCTATCGTCGCGTCAGTCTAAGCTACACTTCGGAGGCAGGAAGACTCTTCCAGCCATGGCATAATCGATTAAAAGGATGTTTTAGTCTATACTGATTTTAGTAGCTTCAGCCATCACGTTCATCCGAGATAGCCTATCCAATCAATCCTAATTTCGCTCCATCTGATTTTCGTACGGTTGCGGACTAAGTGTTCTCGTCACCGGCCCGATTCAGCACTCTAGCGGGGCCTTGCACTTCGAACATGCCGGTCAAAACGCCGCCTGTCCCTCTCTTCGCGGGGTTCAAAAAAGTAATCTCGGCCCGAATAAGCCACACTCCCGAGGGTGTATCATTTAGTCTACACGCGACAAGGAAGGCGACTACTACCCGCCATCGCATTGATCAACCACAGCTTGCTTTCCCCGTCAGCCGTCAGCAGCAAAATGTATGCGCCTTTCCGGCTCAGCCCTAAGTTGCAGCAGAGAGTGCAAAAGAATTTAGGCACGGGGGCTATTGGCGATGCTGCTGCGCTAAAAGTCGGCTTCGGCGAGGTGGTGACCATACCGTACACCAGGCAGACTGATGTCTATGCGTGGCAGGAATGGTACAGCAGGTCTCTAGCGGAGGTAGGACTTGAGCAATGATTGGATATAGGGCCTGTCTATGGTCTGGAGGCAGTTAGCTGAGTTGTAACAACTATGCAAAGTTATGTTAAAGCGCTGAAATATGTGAACCTGTTTGTAAAGGCAGGATTTGGTAATCAAAAGTCATGTTGTAGTTACCTACGTCGAAGAAAGGCATTAGTGAGTCAGTACAACTGGCGGGGTTTGGCGAAAGAGCTCCGCATACTGTAAAGTAATTTTATTTCAAACTTCATCTTCATACCACTAGTGTATTTCCTTACTCAGATGCCGTATTCTTATGCTTCCGGCCCTGGCCGGCTGCCAATTGTACGCAATGTATCGCGGTTCGGGCCGGTTAGTCCAGACTGGTACAGCTCAACGCCGAACCTTTGCCACCATCGCTGCTCTTATAAAGTCTACAGGCATGGTCGCTTTTTGAACGATTTTTCATTAATAAACAACTCAATGTCACAACAATGACTATCGACTGCTTCTTCAAATCGAACCACACCTTTAGCTTTGAGGCGCTCCGTGCCGCAGGCTACAGCAACTACGGGGGTGCCGACCTGGCCGAGGTGGTTGCCATCTGCGCCGCCATCCGTCCCGGCAACGAAGATGACTGGGTGCACGAATGGAAAAAAGCGGCCGAGCGCGCAGTCTTACAGGCTGAGAGCTCGATCTCGGTCAAGAACAACGAGAGCGCAAAGCACGCATACCTACGGGCGTCCAACTACTTTCGGACGGCGGAATTCTTTCGGCGGGAGAACTATGACAAGGACGAGCTCGCGCAGCTCCTGTACACGAGTTCAGAGACGCACTTTGAAAAGGCCATGGCGTTGTCTCCGTATGCCTATGAAGCAGTCACCATCCCGTACGAAAAGACGACATTGCCGGGTTACTTTGTCGCTGTAGACAAGACGGACAAGCCGCGTAAAACGATCATCTTCAATGGCGGGTACGACTCGACCAGTAGCGAGGGCTGGTTCGCGATTGGAGCGGCCGCACTGGCCCGGGGCTACAACTTCCTCGCCTTCGACGGTCCCGGCCAAGGCGGCGCCATCCGCAAGCAGAAGCTGCACTTCCGGCCCGACTGGGAGCACGTACTCACGCCCGTCGTCGACTACGCCCTCACCCGCGCAGACGTCGACGCCAGCCGCATCGCCGTTTTCGGCTGGAGCATGGGCGGTTACCTGGTCGCGCGCGCCGGGACACGGGAGCACCGCGCCGCCGCGCTCATCCTCGACGACGGTGTGCTCGACTTTGGCGCCGCATTCCGCGCCAAGCAGCCCGCGTTCGTGCAGCGGCTGGTGGAGCAAAAGTACGACGGCGTGTGCAACTGGTTGTTCGGGATGATGGCGGCGACAAATACCGGCGTCCGCTGGGCGCTGCTCAACGGGCAGTGGACGCTGGGCGTGCGGACGGCGTCGGAGCTGGCGCGCGCGATGCGGGCGTACACGACTGTGGGGATAAGTCGGGACATTCGGACGCCGTGCTTGGTCATGGACGCGGAGAATGACCACTTCCTCAAGGGGCAGCCGGAGCTGCTGCGCAAGACGCTAACGTGCGAGAATGAGTTTGTGAGCTTGCGCGCCGAGGAGGGCGCAGACACGCACTGTCATCAAGGAGCCTTCTTTCGAACCCATCAGGTCATTTTTGACTATCTCGCAAAGCATATCAAGGAGGACGACGCGTGAGCTATTCGCCGATAATACCTACCGTGTATCGTTGTACTTTTATGTAGATTTATTCGATAGTAATAGTTCAACTCGTTATGGGCCCTCAAAGAAAATCTTATAAATCAAAGACAATACAGATTATAGGGGAGTAGGCTGCTCAGCCAGGGCAAGCAACTGCTACTCCAGTACACTCCACTAAAGCTTCAGTGAAGCCCGCCAGGCGTTTTAGTAGCCCTGTATCGCTCTCCATCTGCATTGCATTGCTGAAGCCGTGGCCTGCAGTGGGCACTTTAAAGTCCGCAACCGCTGAACTCTAACTGTACACTCTTCAACGGCAGCGGACCTTCAACGACGGCGGACCTCCACGACGGCGGACGAAGGGTATGATTTGTCAGGTTATGCCATCGACGAGGAAGATCCAAAGCTCGTTCAGGAAAAATGTCAAATTATATATAAAGAGCCTAATGGCACGGATATCGACTCCAATCAGACTACAACCCCCAGACAGTCTCATTCCAACCAACGATACATAAATCACGAGGTGCATCTACCCTTGTCCTCGCCGACAATGAATACTCTCATCGTTGGGGGAACTGGCCTCATTGGCGGCCATGCTGCTCTACATCTACGTTCCCTTGGCCATACTGTCACCATCTCAGGCCGTACGCAGCCGCAGGCACCATCGCCTCTGGCCGACTTTTCCTTTATCCAGGGCAACTACCTAAACGCCGACATCACCATGGATCAGCTGTCCGCCTTTGATACGGTCATATTCACAGCCGGCGCTGATGCTCGACACATTCCCGCGGCCGAAAAGGACCGCGACGCCTTCTTTCTCCGCGCCAACGGCGAGGCCGTGCCTGCCTTCGCCGCGCTGGCGCGAGACGCCGGCGTCGCGCAATTCGTCCACGTTGGCAGCTACTACTGGCACGCGGAGCCCTCGCTCGTCGACACCAACACGTACATGCGGTCGCGCAAGCTCGAGTCCGAGGGCATCGTCGCGCTGGCCCGACCGGGCTTCGCGGCGACGAGTCTGTGCCCCCCGTTTCTTGTGGGCGACATCTCGCCGACTGTCGCGTCGCCGTTTGCGGCCGAGCTCGTCCAGTACTTTCAGGGCAAGCTCGGCTTCGCGGAGTCGGCGCCACCAGGCGGCGTGGCTTTCTTGACGCTCAGGTCGCTCTCGCAGGCGATTGCCGGCGCCCTTGCGAATCGCGAGGCTGTCTCGGGCAAGGTGCTGGCCATTGGCGACGAGAACCTGACGTGGGCGCAGTTTTTCAACTACTTTCGTCGAGCGCTCGGCTTAAGTGAGGTGGAGCTTCCACTGGTTGACGACCATCCGCTGGTATCCAAAGGGGCTCGCATGGCTGGTGATAAGAATGTCTTTCTGGAGACCACGCCAGAGGCGCAGGCACTACTTGGAAACTATGCTCGCAATGACATTTATAATGCAGTTAAGAAACTGGTAGCTAATCGAAACTAAAATGTGCTAGCTCTACGCTAGGAGGAGTACTAAAATGAGATGAAATTAAGAGACTATGCAGGCCGAGTAGAATATACAGTCTCCTACAAGTCTAAATACTCTTACTTTATAGTAAAATACATATGTTACTTAAAGAAATTTTATAAGATTAATTTTAAAAAAAATATAATTAAGTTTAATAAGTATCTTTATTTCTACTATATAATTTAAAAATGAATTACCTTAAATATAAATAAACTTATAAATAAGAATACTACTTGATAAAAAATAATATACCTTACTTTAATCTACTGTTAAGCTATAATAGATTACTATATAGAGCCTTGTTAAAGATATAATACTATTTTACTAGGAGAATAGATATATATTATTTATATAATACTAAGTCTTATATAAATAATACTTTACTAGCCACCAAGTAAAGATAATAAAGCCCGGCACTCTATTCCACATTGGGCGCTAATGTCGGGAAGCTTCTTACTATTGCACTACAGGTTCCATGGTTAGCAATTTCATCACCTGTGTGGCACACGTTTATGACTGCGTGGTCAGAACTTACTCTGCACCTGCCGAACCAGTAGTTCGGCTTACGCTTGACATTCTTCCTTTTCATCGCCTCCTCCTGCGCCTGCACCTTCTTGACCGCCGTCTCCAGCTTCTGGCAGCTCTGCGTGATCTGCGTCTTGAGCTGAGCGTCCTCCGGCCCCTGCTGCGAGCCCGTCTTCTCGCAGATCTGCGCCAGGTCCTCGAGACCCTTGATGCGCTTCTTCTCCTTCTCCTCCTCGGCGCGGCGGGCGGCTTCCTTAGCTGCCGCTTCCTTAGCGAGGCGCTCACGCTTATCCCAGGTCGTCTCGAAGCCGAGCTGCAGCGCGTTGCCGATGGCCTTGGTCATCTTGTATTTCAGCTCGTTGCCATAGATGTCGGTGCGCTGCGGGCCGCCGATGGCCTCCTGTAGGCTCGCCATGGCGTTATCGAACCAGCTGACCGCGCGTCCGACCGGATTATCCCACCGCTTGATCGCGTCGAGCGCGTCGTGGGCGTACGGCGCGACGAGCATGAACGTAGCGGCCTTGCCGGCGGACTTTGGCACCGCGAAGCGGGTCGGCTTATAGACCGGACGGCCTTTGGTGGGCGTCTTGGACGGTGTTTTGCCCTGGGTCTTGGGCGGCTTCGTCTCCTTGATGGGCTTGCCGGCACTGTCGCAGCAAATGTCCCGCTTTTTGGGGCAGGGACGGCACTTTTTAGCAGGCCCAATAGGCGAGCCTGGTATTCTCGTCACTCCTGTTTTTATGTTCGGATCCTTAGCCTTATGATACGGCAAGAGCGAGCCGGGCATGTTTCTGATGGGAGGTCTAGGGCTCGCAGGGGGCTTCAGTGACCCAGCTGGACCCCAATCCTTAATCCCGTCCTTGATAGCGCCGACAATCAGCTCGCCCGGCCCAGGCGGCGGCGGCGCTTGAGGCTCTCTGCCCATTAGAGTTACATGGGCGGATGACAGCCCGAGCAGGGCGAAGGGAATGATTGTGATCTTCATGATTGTGCGTGATGCTAGAAAAGAAAGGCCGTTTCCGGATGCGAAGGAGAAGTAAACGAATGCTTGTTCGAAAGAATCATATTGAGAAAAGCAAATGGACGACTTTAAATAATTCAGCGAGGTGGTTTCGCAATTCTACAGCCAGCCGCGGACAACGCCACACGGTAACTTTGCCGCAATTGAACAATGGCGTGACTCGAGGCTTTAATGTGAACCACTTGCATAAGCTTTTACGAGTACAGATTATGCCCTCAGTCAGGTATTTTGGTATCTTATTCATTGTGGATTTGAGATTACAGTCCACACACCAGGCAATCCTGATAATGGTAATTTCCGTCTAACATGCCGCTTAATCATGCGCTGGCAGCTTCTATGTTGAACAGTATAAGGACAGGTAGTTTTACTGTCCATAGCGATTCCACAATTTTCTGCCCTTGGGTTCTATGCATGAGTAGCGTTTGTTGCGTATAGATCAAGCGCGTAGTAGCATATGCTAAGGCGACGTTCCGTTAGGCCGCGTAAACGCGCTCGACGTCTACGCATTAGGACCATTACACGAGTGTTAATTTATTAGCATGACGTTGCGTAATGCGCCTACAACTTCTTCCTTATGCATGTGCCGCGAGGCAGGCGCTCTACTGTAGGGTCGATCCTGACTCGCATATATTCTATAGGTCGCGTGTCATTGCTAAAATGCCATCTAAGGTTCACATCATCACCACTCTAGTGATTAAATGCGTCCATAAGATATCCACAACGGCTCGGCTAGACCTTAACTTAGGATGCTGGTTTACTTGCTGGTAGCTTGGGGCGATAATTATACCCGACTCGAACGGACCATTGGCGAACAACGTACCGCGACTCAAACAGGATTCATGCGCCATCATATAGCACGACTTGTTTGAATCTCGCCAAGTTCCGTCATTCTCTGTCCCTTCTTACGTATAAATTCGTCTACCAACCGAGATTCTCTTCGTCTTCTATTCGATTGACATCTACTGACCCTGCCTTTTATACCCGTACTATTGAATCAGAGTCTTGTTATTTTTAGCATAATCTCATACAATAACCTTGATCATGAGATACCTCAGGGTCTTCGCTATCCCCTCCATCCTGGTAGCTGCCAGCCGTATTCCCACCCGTCAAGTGGCGCAGCCTGTCCCCGATGCCCTAACCCTTCGCGCCAACTTCTGTCTCGACTACACCCGGCCCGACTGTGCGAAGCCGATGCAGGATTGCGAGTCTAGCACCAAGGGTCTGGAGATCTGCATTCGCGACGAGCACCCAGAGTGCATCAAGGACGAAAAGTCACCTTGCTCTCAGTTTGTTGCGCAGTGCCTCGCTGAGTATGGCAAGGAGGCGGACGCGAATCAGGCCGTCAATGACTGCATGATTGGAAAGGTATTTTCCGAGTCCGAGGGGCCCGCCGAGTCCGAGGGGCCCGCCGACGAGGAACAGCCAGTGGACGCTAAACGAGTCCTGGATCTCCGCGCCATCTTCTGCATCGACTACCACAAGCCAGAGTGCGAGGACGCGATCTGGGACTGCAACTCCAAGTGCGCGGATGCAGCTGCTGAGGACCAATGCAAATCTAAGCCCAACGAGCTCGAGTTCTGCGTCCGCGACGAGGAACCGAGCTGCATCAAGGACGAGGGTTCGCTATGCTCCCAGGCTGTCGTGCAGTGCCTCGGCGAGTTTGGCAAGGAGACGGACGCAGACCAGGCCGTTCACGACTGCATCATCGAAAAGGTCATATCCGGCACGCCAGAAGACGAGGAGGCGCCTGCCGAGCCTAGCCAGGAGACCGTAGTCTCAGCCGCATGCAAGAAGGCGAGCGCCGAGTACCAGGTGGCTGTGATCGAAGCCGATTGCGACGAGGTCGAGGATGACAGCGAGAACGAGGTCCAAAGACGCGATTCGTCGGCGTGCGGCGCGGCAAGTCTGGCTTTTCAGGAAAAGTGGAAGGAAAATAACTGCGAGTCTGAATTAATAGAGCCCTCTCAGGCTCAGGGGTGAAGGAATGACGCGAGTGGACGAACATAGAGGACTTGGACTAAATGCCCATCTTCAATGTAACAAACTTTACGATTTGCAGAGTGTGATGCTGCGCTACATTATAGTCTAAGAGTGGTTATCTGAGACGGCTGCTTATAACCCTTCATCACTACATTTTCGCGACATAAAAATGTCTAGTATTGCTAACCGCGCGGGACTGGGCTTCTGCTCTGCTGGACATCGTAGGTCTTCTCTTACCGGCTCTTTGCACCTTCCTTGACGAACTGGTCAGCTAGCTCGTTGCCTTTGATTCCGGTGTGACCTGGGCACCATCACACTTGAATCGTGCAAGGGTGCGCGTCACTTGTATTTTGGAACGTACGGAAGGCCATTTGCGACGACGGTGGTGCCGTTGAGTGTTCCCATGACCACTTCCAAGCTTTGCACGCAGATAATTCGCCTCAGTCCGGGAATCAGGGCTGGCTGGCTGGCTGGCTAAGTGAATAAATGCCCAACATGGCATTTTGCGCCACAGCAAATGGCCTTCACAAAACCAGGTAATAATAAGGTAGATCAGAGCAGAAAATGACAACACGCTAACTGAACTAGGTCTAGGTTAGGCCGCCGCGGTCCTCATCGGCTGCAGCATCGACTCTAAAATAACCAGGCCAGACCGCCCAACAGGGCCTCACATTTATTGAACTTCAAAAGGCCGTAGAGCGTGGCTCATTTTCTACATCGCTGCTCAGATAGATGTCTGCGGCCGTACGTCGAACTCGTCTTCTCGTCGTTACATCTACCGCAGTCGTTTTGTTGCTGATCGCGTCGCAGTTCTCCTCACCGCTTCTTTCTAAAGTCATCAACAGCTTCGCACCCGTCCTTCGGCGTCTACCAGGCATCGCGTCAACATTCTCTTCGCCCCCTCAGCACGTCGTCGTTATGGCGGGCAATCTAGCTATGGAGACTCCTCTGCTACGTCTTCGTGATGGTAACAAGGTGCCAATGGTCGGCCAACCTGACTCGAAAAACAATCACACGTCAATGTCGCCTCCGCTGACTGACCTTACTTAGCTTGCTTTCGGTACCGGCACGTCATGGTTCAAGGAGCCAGAAGACCACGACAAGTTTGATAAAGATCTGGTTGTCATGGCCAAGGACGCTCTGGAAGCTGGATTCCGCCACCTTGACTGCGCCGAGATGTACGATAATGAAGCAGAGGTTGGCCAGGCCATCAGGGAGAGTGGCATCCCTCGTGAAGAGCTTTTCGTCACAACCAAAGTCGCGAATGGGATCAAAGACGTTCCCAGAGCCATTGAGGAGAGTTTGAAAAGACTCCAACTCGACTATGTTGACCTGTAAGCCCCCAAGGCATAAATGATTACAGCTTCACAAGCACTCATATTTAACTAGATATCTTATTCATGAGCCTTGGAATCTTCACACCCCTGAAGATTACCAGAATGCCTGGCGTGGAATGGAGGAGGTCAAGGCTTCGGGCAAAGCCAAATCGATTGGCGTCAGCAATTTTGTGCGCAAAGACCTCGAGATGATTCTCAAAGGTAGCCCACAGGAACTTCCCGTTGTGAATCAGCTGGAATATCACCCATACATTCAGCGTGAGAACGATGGCGTCCCCTATATTCCTTGGATGCAGGAGCAAGGCATCCAGGTCGAGGCGTTCAAGGGTCTGACCCCACTAGCCCGTTGCCCAGAAGGGCCTCTTGTAGGGCCTCTGGAGCGTATAGCCAAGTCACACAATGTGTCCGACTCTGCTGTCATGCTTCGGTGGTTCCTGCAGCAGAGCATCGTTGCTATCACGACCACACGCAAGAAGGAGCGCCTACGGGAATACGCACAGGCCCTGACTTTCAAGCTCACGAAGGAAGAGATGGATGAGATTTTCTCGGAGGGCAAGAAGCTATTCAAGCGATTCTACTTCCCAGAACGATACGACGCTAAGGACCGATCTTAGATCATACAGCACATGCTCAAAACTCTAGTCAGCAAAGTCAATTTATTTATATACCTCTTATTCCTTCCCAATACAAGTAAAATCAAGTAGTTTAAGCGATAGAGTAGTAAATATAACGTAATACTATACTAATATTATAGATACAGCCTATATAATAGAAATAGTACTAAGGTATTAATGATTTATATTAAGTAAAAGTATATAAGTTAGAGGTTTAAAGTTAAAAAATAATAAGTTAAATAATACCTAATATAGTTAATAA